TAGCATTGTTCGTCAAGACAACAGCGAAATACAGCAAGTGATGAATTCCACTGCCGAAAATCCATGAATGGAAACGCATTTTTAAACCATTTTCTAGGCAAAACATTAAGACAAGTTAAAAAAAAAAAAATTAAAAATCACAATAAAGCATACTATGATTGTAAAATCACAAACACTGCAATTCAGTTTAATAATATATGTGCTGCTGCACTGTTGTCATTTATAGACATGTATGGCATGGTTATATACGCATTTCAGCAGCATGGTTAATAAACTGCATCCCTGCATGTGCTGAGAGTTTGGGTTGCTTATTGTTCACCAGATTTGTAACGTAATCATCATTTATAAATATCACCAACACAGCAGAATACATCAATATGTTTCAAAAAACATATTGATAAAAGTTAAAAACCCTTACCCTAAAGAAATAAAAGTTTAAACCCTCGCCTTGAGTTCACATTTTTTGTTTACCACGTTCTTGTTCAAGTAATGAAACAGCCATAAAGTGGCTGTTTCTGTCATAAAGAAGTGGCTAAATATGAATGATCAAGCGAAATTTTGAATTAAATGTTTGGCCAATATTAAAAAAGGTTTTTTATTATACTCTAAAGTGTAACAATCTCAAGCCATTGGCACCCTCTGTATACTTTTTGTTATAATAAATGATGTATTCATTATTGCTAATTTGATATTACATATGTATTTTAACAGTGCTGTTTGGTAAAGCCAAATATTTACTTGCTTTTGATAATATATTTGAATTGATTAATGCCTCATGTTATATGTGTATTATAGTGCAGCAGATTAATGGCATATTTCAAGAGAATCATTCAAATTGGTATAGAAGCATAAAATTTGGCACAGATACTCTCTAAGGGTCACTTTTTGTGGAAAAGTGACCCTTAGAGTGCATTGGCCACCCAAAAATTCAACATGGTGGCCATTTTTTCAAGATGGCTGCTATTTCTGTCAAATGTTGATTATGTCAACCGTTCAAACTACTGTGTGAAAATACTCTCTTCTCTCTCAAAAAAAGTTTTTTATTTGAAAACGGTGCTTGTCCACCTTAAAAAGTTTAAGATAGTAACCTTTTTTTTTTTCAAGAACGCCGCCATTTTTCTTGAATCCTTAAATCTTTTTTTTTTCCAAATGGTGATGGTATTATGAAATGTGGTACAAATATTCTTCAATGAACACTATCATGGAAAAATCTGTGCCACTCAAAAATTCAAGATGGTGACCATTTTGATTTTTGAGTTCCAAAAGAGTGTTCCTTGAGTATGTCTGCCTAATTTTATGCTTGCATCACCATTTGAACAATTGAAATAATTCATATTCAACAGGAACGGTAGCCATCTTTAAAAATGACAGCCATCTTGAATTTTTGAGGGACAAACATCTTTTTCCAATAACATGTTCTTTAGAGAGTTTTTAGTATCAAATATTATGCTTGGATCACTGTTTGAATAATTGATATAATAAGCATTTAATAACAATGGCGGCCATCTTGAAAATTGGCTGGCATATTGAATTTGAGTGACCAACGCCTTTTTCCAAAATAGTGGCCCTTAGAGAGTATCTGTACCAAATTTCAAGCTTCCATACCAAAGATTTTTTCACTAATCTGCTGTACTATTTTAAAGGCTATTGTTCACTTAGGTCTATTTTTATTACCACATTGGTTTGCATTATGTGGCTTTTTGTGATTTTTCCAGTCATATTTCACTATTAAAATTGGTGGTGATTTTTAATTAAAAAAAAAACAATAATTGTACCTTGACATACTGACAGTAAGCAAGCAAGCAAGCAACTCAATACATTGGAAGCACCCATCTACGCCAGTTTGCCGAATATATTATTTTGCTTGCTATGCTTGGTGTCAAATTCTTCAAACCCCAACGAGGATATACCACAGTATAAACGATACAGCAGAATCTCTTACAGCCCTAAGAAAATGTACAAACAACAGTAAAAGCCTGTTTTTGTCATCTGCAGGCATATGAAAGCATCCCTTTAATGAGGAACACTTATGCCTGTGTGCAATTTTGCTTATGTGCCTTTTAAAATGGTAACAGTATTGATTTTAAGAGCTCTCAGCAGGGCTTTGTTTATGCTGTGCATATGGCACAGAAAAGGAGGGTATAACACAGCAACAGACCCAACACTGCAGTTTATGCACTGCTTGTATATTGGACCTTATTAGCATGCCTGATGCAGATGCAAAAAAAAAAAGATGCACACACTGCTGATATATTGCTTTGGCCTAGATTTCCATTGTGGCGAGGGCAGCCTTAATTGATACTGACAGCCCTCTTAGCTTTGAGGGTGAAAGCCTGCAATATTTCACCTGGGAGGTTTGACAAGGGCATGGCGATGGAGACCACTTCCCACTCACAGTCTGGGAATATTGTTAAATATGAAAAGACATGCGTGTAATTAACCGCCACCGTTTGATGAGTCTCTGCTAATTCTTCAGAGGATTTGTTATATCAATACTTAACTCGAAATAATAATTACACTGCGACTCTTGATTATCTATGCATTTCTTTAAATATTCAAATACCCCTCTGCGTCTTCCGATGGATAATCCCTGGAGTAAAAGCAAGGATTTAAGGCGTCTGAAAACCAATTGTTCCCTTTAATATTGTCCTTTACCAGTGTCAAATCCAATTTGCTCTTTCAACTTTGAGAAATGATTTATTTTTCTGTGGTTAACGTCTCTCCGTCCTACATATCTCTCTTCTTTTGAAGCGTTAATTTGAAGCGCACTCGCTGGACTTGCTTCTCTCGGTACAGAGCAAAGCGCCGCTCCCTGCCGGCTCCACAGTGGGTAACCTGAGACTGCATTAAATGAAAAGCCAAGCATGAGCTGCCACTGTCTCCGTCCTCGCTGCCTGTTCAATTAGAAGGAGAAACGGGCCAAATATATTTCTGTATGAAGTCATGCAGATTTGGCCTCAGGTTTAACACCATACGACAGACTGTGGCTTCTCCAAAGGGCTGAGACATTGCTGAGTGGCCCTAATTAGTCCACATATGTCACCTAGAACAGTTTCTATGGCAAATTGCTCTCCCATGCTCCAACACATGTCCATGTTTTCATCAAATTAGTACAGGAATAATGCTACATATGTATACAGATCATACACTGCTGGAATAACAACTTCAAACATATTGTCTTCTGCTACAGGGCTATGGAGATAGGCATGAACATTTTGTAGCGAAATACATCAAACCAAAAGCCTCGGATATGACTTGCTGGTGCTTTGTATTGGGTATCGCATAATAATACTGATGTAAAATTAAAGATGTCTCATGGCGATAATGCAGACATGATTTTGTGGATTATTACTTTGGTAGGTAACTAGGTATCATGACTTTTCTTTATACTTCTGAATTTTCTGTATCCATTTTGTTTAGCTACATTTACAGCAATACAAAAGTCTAAAAGAAACATTTGATTTGAATAATGAAGCTGAATTCAGAGTACAAATAATGTGCTAACCTTTTCTTTGTCACATGCTTTTTTTTAGCATTTCAATCCTTTATTTACTGTTAAAATAAATCACATCTCTAAACAGCTGTAAACATGTTATTCCTCTGAACCTGATTTAATGATCTACATCCAGAGATATCTCATTAGATACAAATTCTCAAAGCACTTTAAAAGGCTAATGTGCTGTAATACCAGACCATCTGAAACACACCACTGTAAAAGTCTTTCAGTAGTTCAAGTCAGCATGAAATGAAAATGCACCCAACTCAAATCTATTTTCTAAACGCATGTTATAAATATTATTTCTTTCTCTTTTTCTTTTACCAAGTAATTGTCAAATCAAAATTTCATAATGCATACCGGGCTTAAATCATTTAGTCTGCTTAAAGGTGAAGTATGTAAGATTGTATGTTAAAATACATTCTCTTAAGCCATTGTCTCAAGAGATTTCCATGACGCATGCGCGAGAACTGCGATTTAACTCTACTCCTTGTTCAGTTCTACTGAACTATTCCTAGTTCAGACTATTCCTTTTCTTCCTTGTAGGCCTGAGACGAGAGTTCAAGAGATTTCCACGACGCATGCGCGAGAACTGAACAAGGAGTAGAGTTAAATCGCAGTTCTCGCGCATGCGTCGTGGAAATCTCTTGAACTCTCGTCTCAGGCCTACAAGGAAGAAAAGGAATAGTCGAATAAAGTCGTTATTTTTTTTAATTTTTTTTTCCCGCACAAAAAGTATTCTCGTCGCTTGATAAACATATAGTTGAGCCACTGTTGTCACATTGAATATTTAAACATTTTCTTCAATGACTTTCTGGGCCGTCAATTAATTAATGACTTAAATTTTCATTTTTTTGGTGAACTAACCATAAATATCTATATAAAGGCTAGATGTCTCACAGCGGAGTATTTATCGTCATCATCGGCGGCCATCTTGTCACAGACAGGCTTTCTTGCGGGCTCTGTGGTATCTGATGTAAGAAATACTCTTATCTCATTGAAATTTTGACGGATTTACAAACGGTTTGGTTTCTTACAAACGTTATTAACGAGGTTATAATTCTGGATGATTATTTATTTATACACTTATTATTCATAAGTATGCAGTATCATAACTACATCTCTGCCGTTTATAACAAACCAGACCGTTTGAAAATCGGTAGAAAATTGAGCAAGTTACGGTGATTTAAAAAGTACATGCGCCATTAAAACAATGTTACCAGTGAGCGAGCTGCCTGTGACAAGATGGCCGCCAGGTTCTGACGTCGACCTCCATTGGCCAGCAGCGCGGACGAGATATCTAGCATTTATATACATATCTATGGAACTAACCCTTTAAGTGCAGAGGAAGACGGTAAGACAAACACAACCAAGCGATTACAAAACAGGCAGGCCGGATCAGATAATGGTTCTTGAGCCCTTGAGTTCCTTAAAAGCAAACATTTACCTTGCCATAAGAACATCTTCATGTTATGTAAGGCCTTAAGCGCATCATCTTGCTTACCTTCAGTGCAGTATTTCCCTTTGTAGCCAGTATTGGAGCAATCGCACAGCACCTCGCTGTCGCGAATGGAGCAGCGTCCTCCGTTGCTGCACGGGTTTTGTTTCGTACACAGGTATTCCAGATCGTTCTTCACCCCCTGACTGTCCAGAAGGGCAGGAGAAGTCTCGCCTAACTTCAGGTTGGCGATCAGGCCTCGGAAAGGCGGTTCATATTTGACCGTGCTGGACGTGAGGGCCGAGAGGCGCACATCCGGTGGGATCCCGCCCACGTACAAGTCGCTGGCCACCATCATCTCCTTTCGTTTTGACTTCACCTCCGCCACTTTGCTCTCCCCATCCATCACCAGCATGGTCTCACGGTAATTCCTTGTTAGAAGCACACGGTGCCAGCGCTCGTCATTGACGTGCGTCTCCATGTGCAACGAGGCCGGCTCGCCGCAGTGGATGGCAAAGCGCAACTGCAGGCGGCCGTCGTTGATCAGGAGCTCCAGGAAGTCACAGTTTCCGCCATCGTCCAGGTATAGCACTATAGCTTTGCTGATGTTTGTCTTCACGGTGAAGCTCAGCTCTCCAGTGGCTCTCGCCTCCCAGGGTCCATAGCGAACCCACTGGCCCGGCAGGCCGTCAAACTCCAGTGCTGTGGTGACCGCAACGGCCACCGCGAGTCCCAGCCAAACGGATGGCCGCGATAACTTGGCGCCGCACCTCCACGTCATCATCTTCCAAGCGTGCTCCTAATCCCCTTTTTCCAAATGTTCTGTTTCTCTTAATCCACTGCAGAGGAGAGATTTATTCCCAGTCTAGCGTATTAATTTATCTAGCCTTCTCCAAAATAGCACTGCATAAATAGTAAGGTCCCAGTTTTCAAAAAAAAAAAAAAAAAAAGACTAGTATTTAAGGGTTTCTTTTCACTTGATTCTCCATCTTGATTCTCCACTGAGTAACTCCATTGAGGAACACTTCTGAAAGCCCATGAAAAAAAAAAAATCCTCACACGGTACTTAGTGCTTTGAAATCTAAAACTGCCCTAAAAATCTAGTTGACTCAACATGTTAAAAGGCAGATTTTTGTATCTCACCCCCTGGTGGAAGTAGGATTACCGCTGAGGTTGTATTTTCCGTTTTGTGGGCAGTAGGTCAAATGCATGATTTCTTTTCCCCAGAAAACCTCAGCTCCTTTTAGAAATGTGCGTCTGCATTCCACCGGCAAGATGTCCCCATCAGAAATCTTCCTTGACCGGGTCTCTGAAAGTTAAAAAAAACAAAACAGATGTTAATATGTGTGTATAAAACATGAACACTGACCACTGATTACAAACTCGCATGCACCCCCTAATTTAAGTCTGAGTCGCATCAAATTACAATAATTTGTGGCTTTATTTTGTAAATTTCCATTAGGAAGCCAGTTTGATCACGAAACCAAGACCTGGTAGTGTTATTCCCTCATCTGAGAATCTTTGAGCATAAATGAAAATCAATCTTTAATGCACTTTGCAGTGTAACACTGGGCTAGTTGACGGATCTCCTCATTCGCTTTGCAAATTTGCTGATCGGTTCACAGATGAATATTCACAAACCAGCTCACAGCTAGTGTTTTAAACAGCTCTGAGACCCCCAAAGCCCTCTCAGTCAATCAACACCTCTCTCTTTCACCCATAATAGTGGCAGAGCATAGTAGTGACGGAGTCTGACAACAGAGCCTGAAACAGAGAGGATGACAGATAAGACAGACTGTGAGCGTACTATGGGCATCAGGTGAGGAGTGTAAATGTATGTTTATTAATGAGGAGTATGCACCAGCATGATCACATCATTCTCCTTTTATAATTTGTGTGCACTGTATGCGTGCAGAATTCATTAAAGTGAATATGCAAAACAGTGATAACTGCTCAATGGTCACAGCAAATCAACATTAACGTCTGCACTTGCGGATTAGTTTTGAGTGCTAGGCAGTGGAGGATGCAGCAGACAGCTTCAATATATGGCCCATATTAAGAATTCCACCGCATACAGTATAACCAGTCATATATCCAGAGTCTCTTACAATAATGCTCATCTCCATCATGTAATCATCATTTGATAAATTATTACTGTCATCTACACAAACAGATCTTTTTAATAATTTTGATTAATGGTTGCTTTCTGTGGAATAGATACATGTAAATTGAGGCAAGTTTCAAGTTTTGTGAATATAGTATACATTTAAAAAAAATTATTATTATTATAAACACACATCACCATCCTTATGTCTAATTTATATAGGATGACGGACGACTTAATTAAAATACCCAGTGCGCAGCACTATTTCAGTGAATGAATTATTGCTGCCATGGTCAAAATAAAACAAACCGCTCCTCTTAATAATTTTGTATGGAATAATTCCATGGAATAGTTTGATGTTATTTTGCTTGTGAAAAATCATGCTATATATGTATATGTATATGTATATATATATATATATATATATATGTATATATACACACACATGCATGTATATTTAAGAAAAAAATATTATGTACATATAAAATATTTTTATTTATATTTAATATAAATTATATACATCTATATACATGAAAATATTTCTTAAATATATAAATGAAGAGTTCAGATGCAAAAGCCTCTAAATGCCATTTGAAATTTTCTTCTTTAATGATGATTTGTCAAACTTGTATATTCAAGTTCAGTAATTTCACTTAAATAACAATTAATAGGTAATTACCATTGCCATTTAAGTGAAATCACTGAACTTAAATATACAAGCTTGACATAAAATCATTAAAGAAGAAAATTTCAAATGGCATTTAGAGGCTTTTGCATCTGAACTCTTCAAATATATACAAGCATGTGTGTGTACAGTATATATATATATATATATATATATATATATATATATATATATATATACACATATATACTACATGTATATATATATATGACTATTAAAGGTATAGCGGAGGATCTTTCCGAATTTTAGAGAAGACCCGCCCTCTCCAATTTTTTTAAAAAAATGCACATGGACAAACACAACACTCTTGCTCCCGAGAGGAAACGTATATTACGCCTTACACAATTACGTTGCAAATTATAAACTAACTCAAAAACATTCATAAAAAAGACAACATGTCAAATGCCCTTCCGTGTTTTATTTACTTATTATACTGATCGATTGAGTGACCGAGGACTCAAGACATGATATGTGCAACCCTGTATCACACGAAATACGTTCTGAGGAAACTATTTTGCAAATCGCAATTACGTTACATGGCAACATATAAGCAGTGCTATTACGTTGGTCCTTAACCTAATATGTCTCATTGTTAATAATACGTTATTTTTATACATAGTTGCATATGTAATGGAGAAGTAGCTTGTTGCATTTGTGTAATAATAAACACACAAGGTTTTAGAATATGAACACATGAACACACAAGGTTTTAGAATATGAACACATGAACACACAAGGTTTTAGAATATTTCAGGGTGATACCATTTATCACAAATTGAGATGTTTACCGTGTCTATGCGGTGAATGACTTGGGCCAGGGATGAGCACGTACGACGGCCTTACGTAAACATATCACCAGAATGATTGACACTTAGGTGGACCAATAGTATAGACTACCCACCCGGAAAAAGAAAATCCTCCGCTATACCTTTAATTTATTCAAATACTCAAGCCGCAGCACTATTTCAGTAAGTCCTGTACCCAGTTGAAAGTGAAGCAAATAAGACAAAGGTTTTTAAAATGAATTAACCTGCACAAATGCGGCGCAACTGTTCAGTAATTTTGGCCGTGGAAAACAGATCACCGTGCAGCAAGGTGCCGTGCAGAACTCTGGGGTCATTTCTGTTCCTCTGGCCTCATCAGCATCCATAAATAAAGGTGCTTGCATGGCGGAAGAGATGATATTGAAGCAATATGCACTCCGCAAGCAGAGAAAAATTAATTTGATCACACAAAATGCGAGCTTAATTTCTCATTTGCTTCTAATTAATTACTGTGATCGTGCACAAGAGGACTTCTCAAAAGACCTTGAAGGTGATAACAGCCTTTCTGCCTTTTGAAACCTGGCCTTAAAGAATGCTCCGTTCGTTGGTGAAAGAGCATTAGAAAAATAAAGGGGTCTACCGGGCCGTTCTCTGCAAATAGCAGATGTGAAAAAACGATGAAGTGTCGGAGATAAATTAAAAGGCTTGTTTTGAAAGGCTAACAACGGGATGGAATCTGTGGAAAATCTTCAAAAAGGTCTTGTGAAAGATTATGTTCTCTTATGTTTGTCAAAGGATTAGTGACTAAATGTCTTAATAGCTTTTCCATACAACACTGTGCAACGCACACATATGAAGCATAATTGGAATGAAAAGTAGTCCAATTTAGATCAAATTGGCTCCTGTAACACTCAATACTTAGCCAATCTAAATATATCGGCCATGTAATTCCGCTTTAACGTGGCAGACAGACTGTTCTCCCTGCAGAAGGATTATTTTGCACCGCTTCTGCATGCATGGCTCTGGAAGTGACAGTGACTTTGTCTATAAGAAACAAAAAATGACATGAACGTAGTCTCTCTTAAAATTGCTTCATCTCACATATATCAGCACATGCCAACATGCTCCGGGTGCGCGGCATTCTCATTTGTAACTGAAAAAGCCTCACTAAACATATGCAGGTTGGAAATCCAAATAGAAAGCTCTCCTCTTTTCTCTCGGTACAGTCACTGTCATTAAGGTCATAATCTGCCCTTGAGCGTGATGCATGACTACAGCACAATGCATAACAATGAAGAGAGCAGGAGAAGCGGCCCTGACAAAGCGTTTGCCGTGTTCCTGTTCACTCGTGACAGTGAGAAAGCCCACTCTGAACAGTGATCTACTCTCTTAACCATGTATTAGGGCAGATTTAAGCACTCAACACTTGCTGATCAAAGCCCAGTTCCCAGGTCAGTGTGCTATCTGAGCTAGCAGCAAATAGAATTAGCCATGCTTTCTGCTCTTACATTGGAGAGTAATGGACAGCATAAGGATGCACTGAGGGCACTTTAGGGAGTGAGTCCGTGGCGTGAATGTACAATTAGCACATACGCAACAAAACGCCCACTGAATACATGAGCATCTTTTGTCAAGCTTATATTTAAAGATCACACTTGAATTAGCACATTCATATTCAATTAAGCGTCTCAGTTCTGCCTCGCATTACTTCCTCTTGATGTTTCTTTTAATTAGCCAAATCAAATCGACATGATTAAAAACAGAGTCCTCCTCCGCCACCAACCCACACGAAGTGGCGGTTCCGGGAAGAATCTGCCCCCTTTTGTGGCTGCAGAACAGCATGCGGGGCTGCGCTACTCAGTGACGGCAGATGGCTAGCAAATGGATGGTTCAGATTGTGCGTTTTCGACTTCCGAGCGCTCGGTCCATACAAGGAGATAATTGAGATGAGGTGCGCGACTGGCCACGAGGGAGACGGCAGCCCACGGCTGTGTCCTTTCAGCACCACGGACAGCAGCCAGCAAATATCAGCACCGCGAACAGCGCGTTGACCCACCATCAGTGAGAGCTCCAGGCTTGGATGTGAGATCAGTAGAGCGGCATAGGATGCAGCTGAAATCCCATTTAAGCAGAACTGTGTGATGCTCAGAGGGAGAGAGCTATAAGCTTAAAGTCCCAGATGATTGGGCTAACTCCACCTGTCTGCGATGGACGAAAGGTTCAAAGCAAGAGCAGGCAGAGGCTAGCAAACTCTTTGACATGCTTTCTGTAATCTAACACCCACTGGACCATTGCTTCAACCCACATTTGTGGAAAACCTGCCCTTTTTACCGTGAAGTCACATTTGAGGTGGGAATGCATTCGTCCCGGGGTTGCCAACCAGAGGTCTATTAAACCAAATGAGGCTACGTAAAACTTCTCTTGACATCGTTAGCTAATTTCTCACTTTTTCATGATCTACGTTTCCTCAACTGCAAGCATATAGGTCATAGGGGAGGATATTTAATAGATATTTAAAAATGGGATCTAAAAGGTCCCATTAACTGCATTGTTTATTTTTTTATTTTTTTTTTAAAGACAAAAAAAATTCATAAGACCTAAAAACCAAGTTTCTCTATGAAAGTAGTCAAGGTCATTTTATTCTGGAAGTGTTTAAATGCGCAATTCCACATAAATACATAATTTGACATTTTAATGTAAAATACATCAAAAGTGTGGAGGAGACAAGAAAAATTAATAATAATAATAATAAACTT